TCACCCATATTTGATACTGCGAGATTTTGGTGAAGTGCATCTGGTGGCGCGTACCGCACGTCTTAAAGTTCCGTGACTAGGTAACGTTATAACTGTGTCTGGTGTTACATGCGCACTGACTCAGACCCAGAGTCGTGCGCACCTCTGGCAGCGATTATGCTCGCTGTCCATAATCGCAGGCCACACGCCGTAGCCGCGGATTTGATTGCAAACACGAAGGTAAAGACAGTTATAACACGCGCCACCCATCGTCGACGGCAGCACGATGACTAGACACTTCGATACATTCGCCACCAGTTGCGAGACAGCTGCGCGACGAGATTCGCAGTCGCGACCACGTCCGATCTAATGCTCTTGTGGCGCAGAGATTGGAAGCAACTTCCGCTACCACAAAGGCTTTTGACCGCATCAGCCTTTGGACTTCCTCAGATGCTTGACATGACAGGCGGCGCCATGACGGGAGCGTCCTCCATCACGCAAGCCAGCTCCGAACTGATGGAAAGCGACATGCAGAGAGTGATCGATGACCGAGTAACTCACTGCGTTCGCAGGATCCGAGATGTGCTGAAGAACTGGCATTCGGGGGAGACCCAAATTCGAGAGACTGGAGGTCTCGCGACCATGTGCTGCTGCACGGCTCGCAAGCGGCCAATCGGCCGGCGAGAGGGGCAGGCGCAAAGAAGACATGTGTTGACTCACGACAGCAAAACTTCAATGACAGGTTCAACGTGCCGCGTGTCTGTGAACCTACGAATCGTCAATCGACAGGTCGCAGCACTGCTACACGCCGATGACGCAAGACCGCGGATGGATAGTGCAAGCCTTTCCGTTGTCCCTGGTACCCATGGACGGACGCGTGCCTTCGGTTGGGTGACTTTGTAATACTGGCACCAGCAGCGTCGAGCTCACTATAGCCTAAGCAGCCATGATCACCGCCCGAAATCAACGTGTGATCGACTATGTGAAGAGCGCCGCGCCATCAAAGTTCAAAGTGGGACGTACAATCACCAAAAATCACCCGATCCGTCGCGGCTGTCATCGTTCGAGTCGGTGTCTCATGGTCAATATGAATGGACAAGTGCCGACAAGTCATCAACGAACAATGCCGCACCTGGTCGACTCCAGTGCGTGGCGATCTTGTGCGGGACACACGGGCGGGGACTCATGCGAAACCCGAGAGGGGACTGGCTAAAATCGAGCGAATCAAACGAACGCCACGTTCTCAGAACAATTTGATTCGTCTCTTTTCAGCCAATCATAAGGCTGCGTTTTGGCGGGATGTCGATTTGTTGGAGAACTATCTGACTTGAAGATCTGGATTGCATCCTTCCGAGACGCGTCGCACGGGGCAATTTGACACTGCTGCGTCATAGCGGCGTGCCCACTGCAGGGGGTACGAGGCAGAAACTGTCGTCTCCGGCTCTATTCCCAAGGCCACGTGCACTTGTTGACATGCATTCTGGAATAATTTAACGTTGGGACGAGGCAGACGGTGGTATTCCAGGGGGTCTAATCAAGCAAATAAGACATTTGTTTGTACATAAGACATTTGTTCTTATTTCCCTTGATGGTGGTGTAGAACTCGCACGATCGCGATATCGTACGGACAGGTCGTTTCCTAGTTGAAGACAATTTTTCCACTCGCAGGATGTCTCCAGGTTAGCGTCGCTCGCATCAATATATATATATATATGAACGTGTTTCGCGTTATCTTCATAGTTACACAAAGACTTCGCATACGTAGAGACTAGCAATCTCCTTCTTCTTCATTCGCTCGCCGGTCCGTGGCTGCGTAGGCGGCGGCGCGGGGGCTCGTCTGGCTCTTCGCATCAAAATGACATTTTATATTTCCTAGTGACCTCTTCGCTCGGTTGGACCAGCTCTTGTGTTGCGGGTAGCTCTAAGAATGTTCGTGGCGGACCAAGTTCGGCTGCCTGTTGTACAGACTTGGCTTTATCTCGACGTTAAAAATAAGCTGTATTGCGCTCTTATTTGCTGCCGCCAATGACGAGTTCAAAGACTAGGATGGCCGAGAGCACGAGGATCGCGAGGTAGAGCCGAAAGTTGCTACTGCGCTTGGCCACGAGCTCGGCGCGGTCGCCTTCCGACTCGAGCCCGAGCGTCGCGCGGTCAATGTCCTGGTTCATATCGTCAAGCAGTCGGTGGTGCAAGTCGGTCTCGTCCTTGATCGCAAACGAAAAGTGCTTCAAGTTCGCGACGCCCGACCCAATGATCGCGAGTTGGTCGTCCTGGTCTGCTCCACAGTATGAGACCTCGAGCTAGCGTGCATCTCGTTACCTTGCATCATTTGGTTCTGGATGCGCAGCATTTGCGAGCCGGCCTCGACTGTTGACGCCCTACTTAAGGCCGTGAGCATCGTGCCAGTCAAGATGGCGCCTACCCGCGCGTGCCTTGGGCGCGGCTGTTGTACGTCGTCAAGAGCGCCGACGTCTGGCCTTCCAGCGTCTTGAGGAGGTCTTCTCGCCGCCGGATCTCTTGCGGCGTCGCGACAGCGTTGGACGTCGGGACCGCGGTCATCGCGTCAAAGTCGCGGCGCAGCTTGGCGGCGCTCTGCTGCAGCGCGAAGACGCTCGTGCCCAGGTTCGTGGCCGCGCTCGTCCGGACCATCGAGCTCAGGCTCTGCTGCGAGGCCCGCGCGTTCTCGAGCCGGTCCATCCAGGCGCTCCAGGCGGCCGCGCTGCTTGTCTTCGCCATGCTTCTGCTTCGCCCCAATCTGCGTCGCAGCCGTTGCCACGCCGAGCGATTTAATAATGAAAATTAATGGCCAATACTTACATCCAGTATAAAAGGAATAAAAGAAGATCTTCCACCGTGAATTATATAGGGGTCGCTGGACCTTGGACTTTGTATACCTGATTGAAGTTGCCGATTTTAGTCGCCTGTTGAACCTGCGCCGCGAATACAGCTCGGTGATTGGCTCATGTATTTTTAATTAGTGTATGGTGTATAAGCCACACTAATCATGAAACATATTATAGTGTATATTTTGGGCTTATCCGGCACGACGGGAAGTTCGACGACGAGCATGAGCGCAAAGCACGAAGCCCTGCATGCAGCGATCTGGGGCGGCGCCGCCACCAACGGACCAGCGCCCCTGTCGATTGGCCGCCAATACGTTCGTCGTCGTCTACCAAGCTGGGCTAAGGCGCCTCGGTAGGTTGTTGTCGCGCTGCGCTTCATCTTGCTTGTTGCGTCGGCGGCGTATGAGAGTGCGTGGACAACGGACGCGGCCAAGGCAACCGGTATTGCGCTTGCGCTGTACCTCTTGGCGTTCCTTCTCTTTGCGCGACGCCAGCTACCACTCGTACCACGCGCTTCTCTATGCAGCTTGGCACAACGGACTGTCTGTAGTACATTCGGCTGGTCTTCTTCCTCACACTGCTCAGCGCGTTCGCCGACGTGGGCCGCCCGCTTGTGCAGTTGCGAGGTCGAGAGCCCATGGACTGGCCTCAAGCGACCTTGTTCGCTGCGACGCTCTCTGTTGCCTGTGCCAGTGTTGGCATCAACGTACGTACTTGTAGCAACAACCCATCGAGCATCCTGCCTGTTTCTAGATCCACATCTTGTACCAAGTGGTACAGCAGTCGTTTACCAACAAACAACGTCGCAAGCTGGCCAAGAAGCAGTCGTAGCTGTGTGCTGTAGCCGCCGTCAACGACCACTCTCTGGACTTGTCCTCGATGGTGTGGCCCCCCGCGCCCCTCCACGTTGTACACGACAACATTATCGTTGAGATATGGAGATAGAGTCATATTAGAAAGCTGACGTTCAAAGGCGCAAGGTTGTAAATGCGTGTCACGGCTAGTGCCTCTTGCTGCACGATGTACTATGGCAACGGCGGTGTCAAGTCGGCTTTGGGCGGCAGCATGTAGAGGTAGATGGGAAACTTAGCATCGGCCTTGGTCGCGCCGTCGGCCGTCGCAGCACACATACGCGTCTCGACCAGATACGGGTCCATGGCGTCAATGCGATAGAGGTACGTGAGGATACGGAGCGGCTTGGCGCGGAGGCGGCTCGTGCACGCTTCAAGCTGCCGGAACACTTGCTTGAGGCCCCGCTCAATGAGGAAGAGGAAGAGAACCGTCACGTCGTCGTCAATGGGAATCTCAAGCGCATTGCCGCAGTGTATGTGGACCTTGTCGCTGATGCCCATGGACGCAGCGCTGGCGCGGATGGCCTCGACGCGCGCTCGGTCGATCTCGATACCAATGCTCTTGGCCACGCAGAGCTCGGTCACCGCGTAGAGAAGGACGCGGCCGTCGCCGCAGCCCACGTCGCAGATGACATCGCTCGGACCGACCTTGGCCAAGGCGAACGCTTCGGCAAGGACGGCGCGGGGCGTCGAGTGCAACGTCTTGCGTGGGGCGATCATGAGCAAACCAAGGTCTGTGAGCGTCGATTGGCTAAAATAGAACGCACCGAGCCATGTGGATTGGTTGAAAATCAATGAAATATCTTTGGAATAGCCACACGAGTGACCACGGCGGGTGTGCATAGCGAAAGTACGCGCTCATAAGCACCTTTGCACTTCTTAAAGTAATAGTCTAGGACACTGTCCTCTTCCCGCTGCTTGGCTTGACCCGCGCGTGGACGTCATCCCGAGGCCGCCATTGAACGGTTGAACCGAAGGCGACTCGGATTGGCTGAAATGGTGTAAATGTAGTGATTGGTCAAAAAGAAAATTGTCGTTTTGGATTGGCCATTCTCCACTAAGTTCGGCCCAACACCCATGGAGCTCGGGTTGCCGCAGGACGACGTTGAGGTCGTCCGCGTCCGGAAGTGGCGCCGTGAGCTCAAGCCCATCGGACCCGGCGGACACCTCGAGATCATGTCGTGGGTGCCAGAGGTATCTGTACCCACGCTTGCTCTGCAGCAGTCGCGTCACCTGAACGCAGATCCGAAGGGCTCGTCGGCGACGACAAAGAAAAGTGCCAATGCGCGAAAGCGCGCCGCCGCCGATGGCTCAGCCGCGCGTATGACGCGCAGTCTGCGCCACAATGCCGGCAGCGGATCCGAGCTGTGGGGCCAACTGCCGCCGCCATCGACGCGCACGGCCACGCGTGGCAAGGAGGAGAAGAAGCTCGAGATCCATATGGCCCTCGACCAAGGGCAGCATCACTACGACGCGGTGCCACCTTCGCACGTCTCGTCGGCCGTCCCCACGGATACATCGGCGCCATCGTCCAAGCCCACGTCACCCGCCAAGGTGACGAGCACCGCGACGACGCCAGCCGAGCCGGTGCTTTCAACCATCAGCAGCGTGGACTCGAACAGCGACTTTCTAGCGGGCATGATCCCATATGACGGTAGCGCCGACGACGATGACGACGACGACGACGAAGGATACCGTACATTATCACCGAGCTCGTCGCCCGAGGTCTCGGCGTCACCGTCGCCCGCCGCGTCGCCCATTTAACGTTCTCTTCTATCTATTGTGTGAGCTTCTCGGCGAGGCGTTGCAGCATGAGCGTCTCGTCCGACTACATCGCAGCCATATCGTGGCAGATTCGATGCAAGGTGCAACGTACCGGTTTGGCAAACTTTGGGTTGTGCCGATAGAGATACTTGGCCAAGTAGTCGAGGGGCTTGATCGGCAGCACGAGTTCGCCGTTGCACTTGCGCCGGAGAGCATCATCGTGCGCACGTAAGAGGCTCTTGAGCGCTACCAAGATGCTTCGCAAGACGATGCGACGCCACGCTCGTACGCACCTGGGATCAAGCATGGCATGAGCTCGCGGACGAGGTACTCTTGCTCTTGCTGGTCGGCTTCCGAGCCTCCGCCGTGCACGAGCGAGGCCAAGAAGGCCTGCGCTAGCTCGTCTTCCGAGATCGTTGCCATTGCTTATTGCGAAACGGGCCTGTATTTTCGGCGGCTCGGCTATCCGATAAGGGGATCGTGCGGCGTGCCCCGCCGTAGCCTTCCCAGCACCCCTTTTTCGAAATAATAATAATAATAATATTATTATTGCGATGGACGAGGCGAACGTGTACACGCGGGACGAGACCGACGCCGACGTGCTCCTGAGCTCCGTGGGCCAGCAGGTCATGATGGCCTGGGAGAGAGACTACATGGAGCAGTGCGTCGAGCGCCTCGCCATCACGCCGGCAAGCGACGTCCTCGAGATCGGCTTTGGCCTCGGCTACTCGGCCACCAAGATCATGACGTACTCGCCCAAGACGTATACGATCATTGAATGCGACCCGGTCGTCATCGCCCGCATCAAAGCATGGGCGACAAGCTACAGCAACGTGCGCATCGTGCATGGCGCGTGGCAGACACAGCTACCTGCGTTGCCAGGTACGTCGCGTCCATCAACATACTGCAGCGCGCTCATGGTCCGTAGCCTTCGATTGCATCTTCTTTGACGACTACCCACTGCCGCAAAACGAACGCGATGATGCCAACCACACAATCTCACGGTACAACCCTTGATTTCACATCGTCCGCTGCCAACGAGGGCGTAGCTGGTACGAGTTTTTGGACCTCGCGCTTAACTGGCACACCAAGCTTCATGGCCGTATCACGGGCTACCTCGCACGCCCTCTGAGCCTCGAGCGTCCCGGCTGCACCGTCTCGCTGCGGGCCGTGTCGGTATCTCCACAGTCCTCCTTGTGTCGCACGAAGAACACAGTCGGGGTGTAGGTCGACGTGCCTCCCCACTGCTCGTACTTTCCGTATCAAGAGGCGCTGGTGCCGCTCATTACGCGCTGCGAAGAGGTCTCTCCACAGATTACGGCCTATGGCCTCCCGACACGCAGCGGCGTCGGTCCCGTGGCCGTCGCACACCCCAAGCTCATTGCACTGCGGTCACCTAACCCTACTCGTATGTATCCTCATGCTCACGTCTAGTCGTCAGCTCGATGCTCAAAAGCACAAGGAAGCGACCTCCTCCAGCGCACCGCCCGAGGTCCCCATCATGCCGACCCCCCGTTCGCGTGCTGATACATTGCGGGCCCTGCGGGAGGCCAAAGCTCGAAAGAACGCCACATCGAGTGCATTCGCCGCTAACTCGGGTTAAACTTGACGTAGACGCGCTTGTAGTGCTCGCTTGGGCCGGTGGGCAGCCCGAAAAATCGGTCGGCGCGCTGCGAGGCCTCTACGACAGAGGACGTCATCGTATGCCATTCCATCCCGCATACCTCGCGGACGATGCACGGGCCGCTTAAATATGCGCAAGTCGGCGTTGGGTGGCGCCGACGCTTTGCGGGGTGGAGCCGGCTCGGACGACTGCCGTCGGCTCGGGCGGTAAATGCTGTCTTTGTCAAAGCAGCCGTCGCCTCGCCGCGGCGGCACGTACGCCAGCTTCTTCCTCGCCGAGAAGATCTCTTTGTACGTGTCCCATTGATTGGAGAGCGGTGGCACTGGCGACGTGCACGGAAACCCAAAGCGCGTCGGCGTGGCGTAGCTGCGCGTCGGGCCAAAGGTCGGCGGCGACGCCACCGGAACCACGTACGCCGAATGGTGCGGCGAGAGCGAAGTCGCCTGGTTGCTCTCGTGGCTATTGTGCACGCGGCACATAAAGGTCGGGAGCTGCCGCCGCCGCTCAATGTAGGCAAGCACGAGCCGGTCGACGACGCGCCGTAATCGATCAACGCGGTTGTAGAGAAAGCGTAGACGGAGTCGGACGTGGGCAGGCTCGCGCGACTTGGTCTTGAGCGCAATGGCAAAGTACGACGTCACGCGCTTTTGCTCCCATAGCGTGCGCAGCTCAATCTTGGTTTCGCCGAGGACTTCGTGCCGGTCGGACGCCTTCTTGTCGTCCATGATTGTGATGACGAGCCGCGTCGACATGGACTCGATCGGCGCAAACACAAACTCTTCGTCCCACACGGGAAAGAGCGTGTTGGCGCGCGTGTTGCTCCGGAGCGCTTTGGTCGGGTGGTCCCGCTCCCACGCCCCACTGTCCCTACCCATCAAATGTGGATGCCATCCCTTGGTTGATCAATATGTCACCGGTTTTGGTGCTCGAGGTGCAAGAGCGCGTACGGGTCGCACGTGGCGCTGAGCCGGCGGGTGCACGGCAGGTTCGTCGCCGAGAGCAGCGTGACTTCGAGCCGGCTCTTGAGGCGCTGCGTGGCCGGATCCACATCCATCCGCGTCGCCGACTCGGTGCCTTGCTGCTTCTCGGCCCATTGCAGCTTCTTGCACGCGACCAAGAGCCTACTTGATCGGGTCAGTGCAAGTAGGGGTAGGGCGTGAGACGACTTTGTATTTTCATCCAGCGCCAGGTGGCTCTTGCTGTTGAGCTGCGCAAACGTCGGCGATGGCATCGACGCACCCGCTTCCAGTTGAAACTTGGACTGGTACGTGAACGTGACGTCGACCTTGTGCGGACTCGTCACTTGGTTGTTGCTGCCGTGGGTCTCCAGTACAATGTGCACCGGCGTGTTAGGGTTGTGGTTGGTGGGCAGCGATATGCGGTGCGGGGATCCTGGCGGGTGCGAGAGGAGCTGGCTCACGTGCGCAAGGACGTCGTGCTTGAGGCGCTCGTACATGCTCGCGGGGTCCGTCATATCGGGGCTTTCGGGTCTCTCGTTCGTGTGGGACAAGGCGCTGGCAATGCACTTGTAGCTAGCGTCGGGACAAAAGGGCAAAATGTTGTGTTGGACGTTGTAAAGCTCCGCGACGATCGCCTTGCGCTCTTCTTGGAGTACCTCCCACTGCGTCTCGTACCCGAGAAGGAGGTCGCAGAGCTCGAACCGGCGTTCTTGAAGGCTGTGGAGCACGGCGAGCTTCTCGCTCACGAGCATCCGGTTGAGCGGGTGCTGCTGGCCACTGGGGCTCACAGCGTCATGCTCGTTCGTCTCGTCCATCGCGTCGGCTTCTGAGCCGGTTGCGTCGGGCAGACACTGCCGGAACGAGTCCCGGAGCAAATGCCGGGGACTGGGCTGGACGCGGTACCCTTCGTGGAGCTCCTTGAGCCGCAACACTGGCGCCTACCATGCAACATACTGCTTGAAAGGATCGTCTACAGCGATGTGAACCTTGGGAAGCCGTTCGAGCTTTTGGAGCTCGTCGGCCCACTCTTCTTTCTGCGTCGTGATGCGCTGTAGCTTGTGCGTAAGGGCCGAGACCTCCTTGTCAAAGAGCACGTAGTTCTTGTCGACCATTGCGTGACGAGAGTACTGAAGGTCGGCTTGGAGCATCTCCCTCGTCTTGGCCACGAGCCGGCGTTCGATCTCACTGACCTCAGCTGTCGCCAGCTCGATCTGCGTCTGGAGCTCTGCTGCGCGCGCACTGCCGTCGTCAAAGTAGTACTTTGGACTCTGCGGTGGCGCTGGCAGCTGACACAGATCGACATGTCAGCTGAGATGCTCCTTGTGAACGGATTCGTACCTGGAACAAGTGAAGACGGTGGGCGTCTTGCTCTTTGAGAAGCGACTCCTTGACGGTGGAAATCTCTTGATCGACGGCGACGATCTCGTTGCGGAGAGCGAGCATCGTCGCCTCCAACTGACGCGTCTCGTCCGCCATGGACGCCTCGGCGGTATGCAGCGACTGGATCTTCTGGAGGAGGTACTCGCGGTTGAACTCGGCACCGATCGTTTGGTGCACGCTGTTGTCGGCAGGCGATGCGTCGTGATCGTTGGCAGAAGCACTGCGCTGCGGATGCTGCTGTTGGTGTTGCTGTTTGAGGTGGAGAAGGCGAAACGGGTCGTGGGCCGACCGCTTATCGATGTGCACCATGGCGAGTTCCTGCTGCAGCTGGAGGAGCTGCTCGGTGGCGGCCGACCACTCTTTGGATTTGTTGGTCAAAAGCGCCGACTTGAGTTGCAGCTCGTTCTTGAGCAGGACGTTTTCCGCTTCCAACGTTGCGCGCTGCGCCTCGATGCTACGCTACAGCTACAGCGTTGTCGTTCAACACCTGCGTACGTACCCGCACTGGTCGGCAAAGTGCTTTTTCCCGACCGCGTCGAGCTGCTCGTCGAGCGAGATCGACCCACTGAAGCGCTTTCGGCTCTTCTCGCGCTCACGGTCCGTGATCTAATGCTAGTGTTGAGCACCGACGCTCGATGCGGCGGCGTACCGTGGCGAGGTCCACCGACGTGAGGCCGGGCAAGGTAAAGATGACAAACTCTCGGTAGCTCTCGAGCTGCGCGATCGGGTTGGCTGTGAAAAGCACCTGCAACAAGTGATATCTTGATCGATGTTCTCTTAGTTGGTGGACCTTTTGGAGGTTGCTCAATGGCACCAAGACATCGACTTGCTTGAGGATCGCCAGTGCATTGCCCGAGAGGTCGAGCATCTGCAGTCGCGGCAGCTGTCGCAGGGTTTTGGGCAGCTGCGAGATAAAGTTGCCCGACAGATCGAGGATTTCCTAGCATTTTTGTGAGGTTTCTCGCTGAGTTGTTGTTGGTACCAAGTGCTCGAGCGACGGGAGCTGGATGGCCTTGATGCTGTTGCGCGCCAGGTGCAGCGAGCGCAGCTGCGATAGCGCATCGAGTCCGTCCATGCTGGTGAGGCCATGCCCACTCAAGTTGAGGTGCAAAAGGCTCGGGAAGGGCTGCAGACTCTCGATGGACTTGATCTTGACCTGGCCTTTCCGTGGCGATTGCCCCGGCGGAAGCTCGAGCGCGAGCGAGGTCACACTAGCAGGGTCGCTGCCGCGGCAAACGTAGCGCCGCACCACGCTACCATGCTAATGCGTGAGTGCCCATGGCTATTGCGTCGGCGAGGGTACTCGTCGGTGGCGGTCAACGGCCGCTCGATCGTCACGCCGCCTTGCAGACTCGTGCGCGCAGGGCTCCGGACCGTCGGAATCTTGGACGAATACTTGGACGATGGGATCTCAATCGTGAGGCCGCGCGGCCGCGCTGCTCGGCGCGTGATGCCGAGCATATCGCTCGGCGTCGCCATCGCGTGAGTGGCAACGGTTTTCGACTAAAAAGGGCGGGATGAAACGTAGCATCCGGATAAACTGCCACCGACAATACTGTCCACTTCGCTAGACAATAATGTACACAGCACGCGGCAGCTTTGCACAGCGATAGGTAGGTCGTCCGACGGTCACAATTCGACAACGGGTTGCAACCTGTGCGAGAGCTCTGTGCGAGGTGGACAAGTTGAAGTACACTATTTCGGGTCACGGACACCATTTCCACGTCCTTGGATCTTCGTACCATGCGGCTCCGCCACGTCGTGCGCTGCCTGGTCCAGGCCAGCATTGGCGTTGTCTGGCTCCACGCTGTCGTCGAGCAGCTCGATGCGCACATGCACGTGGGCCTCAAGCCGATGCTACAGACGCTGACCAGCGACGTGCGCCACGCGCTCCACCGCCTGTACCAAGCGCATGTCGCTCAGCCTGCGTACTACGTCCAGCGCGAGGTGCAGTTCTCGGACGCATCGGTCGTCGACCATTGCCTCTCGCTGCGGCGGCTCGAGCATGCTACAGCCGAGCTCTGTGCGATCGCCATGTGAGCTCCGCCGTCGTCGTCGCCGGCGCTGGCCGTGATGCTAGCACCACAGTCGTCTTGTAAAGTGACGCGGCAACATGAACGTGCATGCGCCATCATCCTCCTCGTTCTTGGTGCGAGTGAAAGCCAGGTGCCAGCCAGTCGCGGCGCGTGGGCCTGTCTGCGGGTAAAAACACTCAACTCTGCGTCGAGAACCGTGTGGCGTCTCTGCACAAAGGCGACGGCCAGTTGCGTGATTTTATCGCTTGCAGTTCGGTTTGTCCGGATTGCATCTGAGTTTATCCGGAAAACTAAAACCCAGCATGCGTTGGGGCGTTGGTTCCTCATTTTCGCGGTCGGCCAAGCGACGATGGAGGTAGAGGCCGATGCGAGGACCATGGCTCATGATGGACGTAGCATGCCAAGGACATCGTCCTCGATGGTCATGAACCATCGACCTTCCTGCGCCACGGCTGGCTGCCCGGCGTGGCCGAGCTCCTCGGCCAAGCGACCTTCCGCACGCTTCTGCAAGAGGCGCTGCCCACGCCGGTACGGCGCCATCTTGGATCGTCTTCTCATGCAGTATATGCTAGGCGCACTTGGCGGACGAGTACCATCCACCGCACTTTCATCCTGCGAGCATCGGCCTCAACTGGTCCGACCACCGCAGCAGCATGGACGTCGAGCTCCTCGAATGCATCTTGTTCCGGAGGCGGTCCGCGTTCTTGTCGGCGCTCGTGACGCCCAAGCCACCAACGAGTGTCGACCCGGACACGCCACCGCTCTCGAGCATGGAAAAGCGCACGCAGGAGGGCGCGGCCGTCTTCTCCCCGTCCAACATGGACCAAGAGCTTGTCGACGAAGAGTCGGTGTACATTGGGCAGAGCATCCTCCTCTCGCTTCTCGTGTCCCAGCATTGCCCCGAATCGCTGCGATCAACGCTCACCGACGTCTTCTCGGCGCACTGCAAGACGCTCAGCGAGACGCTCGTCAAGCTCCTAGCGTCGCCGTCGACAACGTGGAGCCCAATGCTGTTTCTCTCGCTCCTCGGCGGCCTCCTCATGCTCGTGGACGCCCCCGAGCTCGTGCTCTCGACGCGCATCGCGCTCGATGCGATCCCGCTCCTCGGCCGACTGCAGGCCGCGATTGTCGAGAGCGGCGTGACCGAGGCTTTTTCCCATTCCGACAAGCGCAAGGTCGACGACGCCAGCAGCGTCTTCCACCCGCTCAAGCGCCAGCGCACGACGCAGTACAGCATCCGGCTCGACGAAGGGCCGAGCAGCAGTAGCAGCAGCAACCACCTGAGCTTTGCGACCGCGGTCCAGATCATGCTCGACAGCGTCGAGAGCACAATGGCCGGCCCGACAAGCGACCTCGGGCTTCAACATTCGTACGAGTCGAGCACCGCGGGTCTGCGCTCGGAGGACATTGACTGCGTGCGCATGATCATGCTGTATCTGAACGTGTCGGGGCAGACGGCCAAGCAACTCTTGCGCGCGTCCAAGACCGCGAGCATGATTCTGCCGTCGTCCGTCTCGATGTTTGTCCAAGTCATGCTGTACGTGGCGACGCACCCGAGCCATTTGCCGCTCATGCAGATCGAAATGGAGATGGAGTGCATCAAGATGAGTCTCTCGCTCCTCTTTGAACTTCAAATGACGATCACAGCCGTCGAGCACCAGGAGGAGCCTGTCCAGGTAACGCCGCATGCAGCTCGACGAGGCTGATGCGATAGACTCTACGATTTAGGTGCTCCACGAAGACGTGCACCAGAAGCTCATGCGCTGGAAGGGCGCGATGGCCGTGCTCCTCTCGCTCGGCTGGACGATCAACACGTCGGGGTGGTATCGACTCGAGTTTTTCAAGGTCCCGCACGGCGTCCCGCACCTTCAGGACGCCAAGCGCATGCTCACAAAGTACATTGCGATCTGCGAGCTCCGACTCAAACAGCTCAGTGACACGCACGCGTATTTGCACCAGCAGCAGCAAATTCGGCTCTCCAAGACCGAGGTATCTCTTTGTATCAATCTATCAAGACTACATACACACCCTGTCCTAGTCGCCGGAAATGGCATTTGCGTGTCCGTGGACCGCACACACGTTCTTGTCTGCCAACGAGCTCGTCGACCATGTGACGCGCGTCGAGCCGTGGCTCCGCACGATGGTGTACACGCGGTTTCACAAGCTCTTTTGGCAGCCGCCGTCGGCGCACGGTACCTTCTCGGCGACTACGTTTCCGAGTTATTCGAGCTGTCGCCATGAAGTGCTCGCGTCGTGCGGTCCGTCGCCTGCGTTTTTTTGGCACCAGTTTTTGCAGCACGTGGCGCATGTGCAGACGCGGCTCGAAGCGCACTTGGTCCAGCTGCCACTGCCGTCGAATGCGCTGGCGTTCGACTGCCTTCACGTCGTCCCGCTCACGCCGTCGCAGGACGTTGACTTCGCGCTTGCGGCCGTGTACCCGACCGAAACGCGGCTCGTCCAAGCGCTCGCGCCGCCGTCCACGAGCTCGTCGAGTGGTGCGAGCCAGTTTCTGCGGGCGCTCCAGGACGGCCCGCTCTCGGAGGCGATGGAGACGTGGCTGTGCGACATTCGGGGGCCGCTGCGGCGCAAGGCGACGCCTGGCATTGCACGCGTCGAGCGTCTCGTGCTCAGCTTGGGCCTCATGCTCTCGGACGCGGTGGTCGCGAAGATCGAGAGCGGCATGGACGACGCGGGGCTGCAGCTTGTCGTGGGCCCGTGGCGCCAGTTTTGCATGTGGCTGGAGCAGCACGCACAGAGCCAGCCGTCTTCGTTGGCGACGCTGGAGGCGTGGTGCCTCTTTCTCCACCAGATTTGGGTCGGTCCGTCCATGGCGCTCTGGACGCAAGAGCCCTCGACGCAACATGCGCTCACGTCGCTCTTTGTGTTTTTGCGTGCGATGGCCGACACGCCGCTCACGCTGCCATTGCGTCAGACCGTCCTCATGCAGCGCCGCGTTGTCTGGCTCCAACTGCTTGGTCTGCACTTGCTCGCAGCATCGTCGCCGTCCGTGCCCGGCCACCGGCGCGCGCTGCACGTGCTGTTAGACGTCTGCCACCGGCCGAATGTGCTGCAACGCGCGACCAGCCGCGGCTGGCACGACCTCGTGTTGCAGTCGCAGCAGTGGTCGTTGCCGGCCGACGCCGCGCCACTGCTGCACTGCTTATGGCAGCAGCCAATTGCTTCTGTGTCGACACTGCGTCGGAATCGTTGTCAAGAAGGCGCGTTGCGCTTGCTGCTCCAGGCGCCGATGCTAAGCGAGGCGACGTGGGCATCGGCGCTCTCGATGGTCGCCGCTTCGAGCCCCACCAACGCCGACGTGACGCAACTTGTTGTCGATTTTCTGCGTCGAGTGGTCGACGATGCGACACTTGTGGAGAAGGCAACCGCGCTCGCACGCATTGCGCTGGCCTGGCTGGCGGTGCCGGACGAGACGAGTCCATGGCGCGACGCGATCGTCGACCCGCTCTTGGCGCAGCTCCCGCACTGGCCACTCGCGACCCAACGCCAAGTGCTCTCGCTGCTACCGACACTCTTGCTGCACGTGGCGCCCGCGTCGGCTGTCGTGCAGTTTCTCTTGTGCCTCACCGCGTGCCAGGAAGCATGCGACGCGCCGCACCCGACGTTTGTCGGCGGACGTGTTGTCTTGAGCGACGGCGCGGTGTACAGCGACCCGTCGCTGTCGTTCCAAGCACTCGACGTGCTCCGGCAGCTCTACGCATCGCCGCTCTGGGCTAATTGCGTGCGCGACGCCCTCGACACGGCACTACGCCACGACTACATGGACGCCAAGGACGAGGCCGTGATGGATCAACTGCTGGCGCTCGGCGCACTCATGCTCACAACGACTGCGATTTCACCTGCGTATGCGCTGTTTCCGGGCCAGCGCGTCGCGGCCACGCCGGCAGACGACGCCTCGATCGAAGCGCTGAGCCAGGCGCAGGTGACCCGCGGCGTCCTTCTCAGTCTGCGCGTCGATCCCAAAACGTGTCGCGCATCGGCGTCGTGCCTCTTCCTCTCGCGGTCGGTCGCATCGCTCTACTACACGACCCAGTGCTCGGTGGGGCTATTGGCGCTGGCGTCGCCAATCGTCGCGTGTCTCCCGAGTGACCTTGCCGGCCATTGCGCCAGCATCGAGCGGCAACTGGAGGTTCGGCCAAACGTCCTCGCCACACCGCTCGGACTCTGGTTGCTCCACGCGTTATGCACGCTTCTCGATCTCGGCCAAATTGACAAGCACAAGTGGACTGCGTGGCTCTTAGACGTGGCGGTGGCGCCGTCGACGATTCCAGTGCCGGCGTGCGTGCAGTCGTGTTTGGCGCTGCAACCACCAACGTACTGGCAGGCGCAAGGCGTGTACCGGTCGATGGCGGCCGAGTGCGACCGGATCGCGCGTCTCGTGGCTTCGACAGGGTCCTCGCCGGTGCTGAGCGGCTTGCGCATTCACCCGCGCCGGCCCGAGGTGGCGGCCGCTGCCTCACCGCACCGGGCATCGACGCGGTTGCCAATCGACGATATTTTGACGCCGACACTGCTGTCCAAGCTTTCCAACACGCCGCCGCAAGTCGCCGACTCGGACGACATGGCGCGCTTGCTCAACATGGGCTGGTCGGCGCCCATTTGCGCGTACGTGCTGCGGTACTACCCCGGCAACTTTGACGGCGCGCTCCAGTGGTTGACGTACGAAGGCAACTCGGAGGACGTGCACCGCCTCCGCGTGACGGGCGCCCAGCCGCCGCCAGACCCGCCGCTCGTGCCACGTATGCGGCCCGAGCTCAAGAACGCGCTCCTCTCGCCGTACAGCGAAGGCCACAGCGACGACTACTTCTATCACCACGTGCCAGTCGTCGAGGCGCTGCGGCAAGTGCCACGCGAGTGTTTCGTGCCCCATTTGTACCTCAAGGATGTCGAAGTGGACAATGCGGTGCAGCACCCGCTGGGGTACACAGTGCCCAACATGGCGCAGTGCAACCAGCTCGTGCATGCGCTCGACGTCAAGCCCGGTACAGTGTTTGTTTCAACGGACCGCAAGTCTCATCGTGTGTAGGCGTCTCGGTGCTGGACGTGGGCACGGGCTCTGGGTACTTTGCGACGCTCCTCGCCCACCTCTACGGCGACCGGCTCCGCGTCACGTCGTGGGAGCGCGACGTGCACCGCTTGGCGTACGCGTACCTGCACATGGCGCGCAGTGTCACGTCGCTTCATGGCGAGCCGCTCCGGCGACCGTCGTTCTTTGACGCGATCGAGTTTCGCGTCTGTGATGCGTTCGCCCCGACCGACGACTGCCATGGCGCGGTCTTTGACCGCGTGCACGTTGGCGCGTCGTGCCCGCGCGAGAGCGTCCAGCTTCTCTTTGAGCTGGTGGCCGACCACGGCATCATGGTGATCCCGATCGACGGTACACTGCATCGCATTGAAAAGACGGCGCGGCATTGGCACGACTGCCGCTGCCTCGTGCTGGGCGCGCTGAGTATCGAGAGCCTTGTCGCGCCGTCGGTCGAGCTCCTCGCGCAGGTGACGCCGACGCTACAGCACCGTACGGTCCACGTCGCCCAAGGTCTGCATGCGTTTGAAGAGCGGGCGAGCGCCGAGAAGCCGCTCGTGCTCAGCTGGAACGCCGAAGACCCGTACGCGTCACCGATGTCGCCGCACCATGCGTGGTGTGCGCCGCTCTTGACGCGTCACATGGCCGTGCGCATAGAGTCGGAGACGAATGAGCTCGTGCAGCGCGGTCTCTCGGACGCTGGCTTTGTTGTCGTGCGACTGGGCGGTGCGCGCTGCCAGCTCCAAGAGCTCTCGCTGGGCGTCAAGATCAGTGACGCGTCGCTCAAGGTCTGCGTCCTCTGATAGCCGCCTCTAACTTGCATCTGTAGGTGTCGAACCGAGGCAGCTTTGGCACAGCGTGCGCCAACGTGGCCGTGCGGGGTGGCGGGCGCTGGTTTTACGAGATTCGCATCGGCACGTCCAAAGTGATCCAGATCGGGTGGGTCCTTCCGGGCTTTGACCCCAACCCCGAAAGCGGCCTCGGCGTCGGCGACGACGCGTTCAGCTACGCGTACGACGGGCGGCGCAAGAAGAAGTGGTTTTGCGGTCGCAACGAAGAGTACTGCAAGCAAATGTGCAAGGCCGGCGACGTGGTCGGCTGCCTCTTGGACCTTGACGCAGGGTACCGCTCTCATCTCGTAAACGGGGTGCTCATGTTGTTGGACTGTCTAGGACGATGACGTTCTACCTCAACGGTGTCTCGCTGGGCGTCGCCTTCTCGGGCCTCGAGCGGGACATTGTGCACGGCGGCTATGCTCCTGCGTGCTCGATGGACGGCGGCGAGTCGGTTTGGTTCAACTTTGGCGCGACCCCGTTCCTGTACCCGCCACCACCGTCGCCGCCGTTTTGCGCGTTGACGCACTTTACGTACCGGCCGCTGCCGACACCGCCGACGCTGCCATTGGCGCGTGTCGTGTCGGTCGATCATGACGCAGGCCGCGTCGTCGTTGTTTGCGCCAACAACGTCGAGCATGTGGTGCCAATAGACAGCGTTCGGCCGATCGACGAGCCGCTGGCGTCGTGGATGCCGCCGTCGCTCGCGTCGAGCGACTTGCGCGCCATCAAAGAGTCGTTGGCGACGCACGAAGCGATCGCGGGCTTGCGCTACTGGCTGCTGGCGTCGATGCGGCCGTCGCTGCGCCTTGCCGACCAAGCGCGGCTGCTTGAAGTCACGTCCGAGGGCCGCGTGTGCCCCCAGCATTTGTGCTTGGACAACGTGCGGGACGACGACGCCGCGTGGATGCGGGAGACGATGACGTCGCAGCTGCAACAACGTCAAGTGCCCGAGATGATGGTTGTTGAAGCGTCGCGGCATCCGCTGAGCACGCGGCTGATCGCAGTCTCGGTCAACGTGTCGAGCTGCCTCAAGATGATCCGAACGCACCTTGGCGACGTCGACGCGCACTTGGAGAAGGGCCAGACGCGCGCAGCGTTCACGTTATTGCAGCGCATCACGGACGTTGTGCTCGAGAAAACGAACCGCGAGAGCGGCGACCACTTGCAGCGGTGTCGGCTGGCGCTCGACAAGGTGTACCAAGCGATTCGCACGGCCGACATGAGCTACCACCATGAGATGAATCTGCACCTCGACCACTTGATCTCGCTCGAGCACCGGCGCAACCCGCGGCCGATGCTCGAAAAGGTCATGGAGCTCAAGAAGGCGCTGCAGGCGTTTGAGGAGCTCGTCGCGCCAACCTCGATCGTGCCCATCGAGACGGTCCATGGCAAATACGTGGGTACGCCTCTCTCTAGCATGTAAAATTCGTAACCAAACGAGTAGGGATTGCGTCGGCCACGTCGCTCCTCGTCGAGTTTGACACGCGGACGTCGCGGTCGCACTGGAAGCTTGTGTTCTACGCCGACGCTGCGTGCACGCGCCGGCTGCCGTGGGTCCTGTCGCGCGACGGTCTCCGGCCATTTGTGGTCCCCGCGAGCCACTTTTACTACTCGTTCGTGCCCGACGTGGCCGCCAACATGACGGCCGAATGGGGCTACGCGTTCCGCGTGACGCCGTATCGCACAGCGTCGCCGCCGCTCTGGGCGCCGTGGCCGGTCGACGCCAGCCTTCTTCCGCGCGAGTGGTCGTCGACCACGAACCTCGTCGAGTGGCTTCAGACCGCGCTCGTCTACTGCCGCATTCCGGGCGCGCGCTTGAAAGAAGATGTCATGGCGTGGGTGCTCCGTGTTTTGCCGTCGTCGCTCGACCCGACGTCGGTGACCAAGCCGCTCCTCGAGCATTTTTTGTACTGCGCGCTGCCCGAGCTCAATGTGCTGTTTCGCGACTCGGTGCGCTGGCAGCTGCACAACCATCGGTACTTTCAAATGCTCTTGCAGCTCTGCACGTCGCTGATCGCGGCGCTGCCGTCGTACGCGCCGCCGTCGTACAGCGTCGAGGCGTTTGGGTACCACGCCGAAGTGCACCCGTGGCACGCCGACCTCGTCGCGACGATCGACGGCCTCCGACAACTGCAGGTCGCGCATGTCGTCGACGTTGCGCGCTGGCGGCCGGTCGTTGAAAGCCACTTTCACTCGCTTCGCGTCCTCAAAGAGGCGCTCAAGCAGTTTGAAGCGTCGGTCAAGTCGGACGTTCAGCGCTGGCACAAGAACCGGCGCGAGTGCTGGCTGCGCCAAGTCGAGCAGGCGTACCATCCGGCGCTGCTCGCGCCGCTTCTCTGTGTATTCAACGATACGCTCTCGGCGAGCTCGCGCGACGGCGGGTGGAGCTCGGAGAAAACCAAGTGGTTGCGCAGCGTGCACGCAGCGTGCACAGTCGGTACGTCTCGTGCATGGTTTCACCACGCGCATTTGGTTCATGGTAGGCGCGATCGCTCGGCAGCTGCTCGTGCTAGCAGGGTGCATTGACACGGATGCACACAGCCCGGCGTGGAGTTGCCAGAGCTACGACTGGCGCAAAGCGGTCGTCAACCTTACGAAGGAGCCGTTCCTTGTCGATACGCTTTTGCCGGCGGCAGCGATCTGGTGCGACGGAAGCCTCTTGCCGGACGTGGCCGAGTCGGCGCCGCGTGCGCAGACCATCTTTGAGGACAACGCCAAGCTCTTCCGCGTCCGTGAGGCGCGCAACGTGCACGTGCTCGGGTCGTTTGAGGATCTCGTGCTGCTCCGGAAGCTCAGCATTCGTATCCCCAAAAAGTACTCCAACACGCCGGTCGTCGCCGGCCTCGTCTTTGTGTACCACGAGAGCCCGACCGCCCACGACATGGAGAAGCTCCGCGAGTACGACCACTTTACGAGCGACAAGTACGAGGCGTACGTGACAGCGATGCGTCAGCAGCAGATGATTCCGCTCCCAGTACACACGATAGGATCCAAGAGGAGGCTTATGCAGGGTGTTAGGGCGACCCGATCGGCTACTTCGACGTGGGCTCGCCGCACTTTTTGCAGGGCAACAATGTGATCACGGTCGTGCCCGAGTTTGCGATCATGGGACGCGTCGTCGTCATCAAGCTCCTGCGTTGCTACAACATTCGCGCCATGGAAGGTACGAAGACGAGTCCTTCATTGGCCACTGCTTGAGATTGATGTGAAGATTTGGCCGACGCGGTCAAGCGTGACGAAGAGCACGGCGGTCCGAAAGACCGCGCGCTGCACAACCCCGTGTACCTCTGGTGCTACAAGCCGCACGAAGAGGTAGCGTACGCACGCAACTGGCTGCCGGACAGAGTGGGATTGCATAGTGGCTGGCGTATCCGCTGGACGTCGAGTACATGCTCGAGACTCAGTACCAAGCGTACTGCAGCGGCGAGAGCTTGGCAAGCCACGCCGACAATGTCGTTGTCGGCGGCGACCACGTGGTCGTCGACTTCACGCGCATGCTCATGCAGACGCCGAGCGGCGACGAGCTCAACAAGATGTCGACGCTCTGCCGCGTCAAGCGCCTCGTGGTGTCGGTGGACCTCAAAGTGAAGCTCACCGCGCACCACTCGATGGAGGTCGAGTACGTGGGGCTGTACGGCCTGGCGGGCCAGGTATGCTTGGCTTGTACTGCGCAACCTGGTGCGACGTCGTTTGGACAACTAGGCAGCCCAAGACGCCTACTCGTCCTGGACGCTGCAGTACCACAACAAGTTTACGAACGCCGTCATAAAGAGCGCGCCGAGTGGAGCCGCCGATCACGAGATCTACCGCGTCTTGAGCGAGAAGGCGCCCGTGTACGGCTTTCCAACGCTCTCGGCGTCGGTCGCGTTTCACGTCTTGTATGGCGAGATCGTGGTCGTCTCGCGCCGGCTCGGGCGCTGGGGCCGGCTCCTCCAGCACCCCGGGGCGCCGGACGCGTGGGTACTTCTCGACTCGCACCAGCCGTCCTTTTTTCGGATACCGCGGGCACAGGCCGCCGCCCACGCCGCCGTGCCATGGCTCCTCGGTTCGTGCGATGTTTTGTGGCGGTTGCTGATGACATGGAGCTAGACGTGTTTTGTGTGGCGCCTGCCGGTGATGCGTACAAGGGTGTCATCGTCGCGGACCTTCCGCACTTTGTGAGTACGACGCTCGTCGACGTCGTCAACAAGTAGCGCCTCTCTCTCGCGTCTGTTGAAACGAATGTGGCGACGTAGGCTGCGCGAAGTGCGGGGACGCTGTGCACTGAGCCTCGTGGCCAACGACGTGAGCCAGTTTTTCGACTCTGACGCGGGTCGCGTGGCAAGCCAGAGCCTCCAGTCATTCTCGCTGCCTGTGCTCATGGGTCGCCTGGACATTCTCCGCCACCTCAACCAGCGCCTCGTGCCGTACGTGATGCTGCTCGGGATTGGCTCGACGCTCTCGACGCAGCACCCGACTTGGCTCGCCGGTCTTGTCACGCACGCCAAGAGCCTCCTCTTCCTCGAGACGAAAATGGCTGTCTGGAAGGTACGACCATATCTCTCTCCTCGACAGGATTTGAGTGGAATGGGTAGAAAATCTGGAGCGAGTCGTACAGCCTCGAACGGTCGTCCGAGGTCGTGAGCATCAACCGCCACATTGCGTTCAAGGTGCGCCCCGAGCTCATGGCGTCGCGGTCGTCGCTCGACATGGACCGCCTCCGCGACGCGTACGCGTCGACGGTCTTTTGCCAGCTGTTTGACGAGCTCCGCCACACGCCGCCGGCGCTGCTGCGACGCAACGACGGCAAGTCGTGGTTTACAAAGTTCAAGGGCGAGCCGTCGATCGACGATGGCGGTCTCTACCGCGAAACCAACGCGACCATCGTACGTCGTATCTCGCTCTCTAGTTTTGGACAATCTTGTCATGTAGTGCTACGAGCTCAACCACGGTCTCGTGCCGCTCTTTGGGCTCTGCGCCAACGGCCAAAACGCCGATGGCTTGCACCAAAACACGCTCGTGCCCAACGTGTCGTGCCTGCGCTGGGTCGAGTGCTGTGACTGGTACAGCTTTGTGGGTGTCCTCATGGGCATTGCGACACAAAACCTCGAAGAAGTCTTCCCGATCGCCCTCGCGCGGCCGATCTGGAAGCTCCTCGTGGGCGAGCAGCTCTGGCCAAACGACCTCGACAGCTTTGATGCGGCGACGGCGCGCACGCTCGCCTTTTTGCGGGACCCGGCCATGGACCAAGAAACGTTTGACGCTGCGTTCCCAGACCTGACGTTTACGTGTCTCTTGAACGACGTTGTCGAGGTCGAGATATCGCCCAATGGCCGTCGTCGCCGCGTCGACTTTGGCGACCGGCTGGCCTATGCGGCGGCGCTCGAACAGTACAAGTTGCATCAGTTTGACGAGGCTGTCGGGTACATTGCGCGGGGCCTCCAGTCGATCGTACACGCCGAGCTGCTCACGATTTTTACGTGGAAGGAACTCGAGGTATGCACCTCGATGATTACGAGTGATTTGACATGATGGCTAGCTCCTCGTGTGCGGTCGACCGACTCTCAACATGGAGTTGCTCAAGAAGAAGACCGAGTACTCGCCCGATATGGACAGCCACGACACGCTCGTGCTGCGCTTTTGGCGCACGCTGGCGTCGTTTACGTCGGACGAGCAGCAGCAATTGTACGTACGAGTCAAGCTGTGTCTCCGACTCATGGCTGTCTAGTCTGCAGTTTGTGTGGGGGCGGTCCCGGCTTCCGTTCAGTGAAGTCGACTTTGGAACGTACACGTTCAAGCTCGTGCGCCACATGAGCGGCGGCAACCCGGACGAGTACCTCCCGGTGGCCCACACGTGCTTCTTCCAGGTGAGCTTGGGACCCTTTGTATCCTCGACTGCACGCTTGTTGTCGTAGCTCGAACTGCCCAACTACTCGTCCGATGAGATTATGAAGGCCAAGCTGCTGTATGCGATGACGCACTGCACGTCGATCGTCGACGAGGAGCAAGCGGCGCAGCAGCGGGACATTGCGCTCTGGGACTCGTAGTCGGTTCCATGAAAATACATATATTTGTAGTCGATCGCGAGCTAGTCGGCGCTGATGGAGATGCCGCCGTCGGGCTGGCGCTTGCCGCAGAGACCAAAGAACTTCATGCACGGCAGGTCGTAGTAGTGCTTCTTCACGGGGTCGTGCAAGGTGTCGTAGGCGGCTTGCAGCTTCTCGTACTTCTGCGGCTCAGTCCCGTTGTTGTACCGGAGCACGCGAACGTGGTAGGCGTGTTCGATCTCGTCGCTGCTCGCGCCCTTGACGAGCCCGAGCTTGGCGTACAGGTCCTTCCCGCGCCACATGGCCGCTTCGTACACGTCCAAGTGCGACCGCAGCGCGCGGCCAATAATGTCTATCGTTTGACAAGATAGTCTCGACCATCAAGTCCACCAAGGGTACCTGGACACGTCGCCCACGTCGCCATGTACTTTGCGCAGTACGCGGCCGCGCGCACTTGGACGTAATGTTCGCAGCGCTTTTGCCCCGGGTAGAGCTCGGTGCAAACCCAGTCGTCTTCGGGGGGTACGTACTCGATCTTGTGCGGCAAGCCAGCGTACGTCGCTTGGAGGCTAAAGAGAATGCGCCGCGGCCGAAGCCGAGCGCAGGACACATGGCTGCACGTGAGGTTGAGCAGCGTCTCGTTGATGGGCGCGGTTTGAAAGAGGTCGTGCTTGTCGAGGAAGGCGTAGACGACGTCGACAGGCTCCTGATCCTCATAGACGTCGAGGTCGCCGAGCTTCTCGGTTGCGGTGTCCATGACGGGCAGGTGGAACACGCGCGCTTCGGCCCGCGTGCAGTTGAGAAGCGGCATGGCCGCGCGCTCGAGGCGACAGAGCGCGTGGAGCCACTCTTGCCGCTCGAAAAACGTCCAGTTGCGCAGCGTGCCGTACCAGTAGACCACATCGGCCGGCTCGTCGTCGCCGTAAAACGGTACGTGTTCGCCGTGGATGGGGGCGACGTACACAAGACTCCGCTCCCGCGTGCAAGCAACGTCCAAGGCATTGCAAATGCCGTCCTTGATGGACGCTTGCTGCTGCGCGTCGAGGTTGTGCTGGACGCCAAACCGGTAGACGGCGTCGACCGGTTCGTCCCCTAACCGCTTTTCAGGAATCATGAAGGGGTAGGGTTTCCAACCGTCGAGCACGTCGACGTAGCCGAGTGGGTTGGGGTCCGACATGTTCATTTTGATGGGAATCGAAGCAAGCAATGGCGCCCAGCGACTGCACGTGACGTTGACAGAGGCCTTGAGATCGTGGCAGACGCGGTTGAGCAAGTCGTCGCGAAAGCCGGTTGGGAGACTGTGGGCGGCAGCAAAGGCAAAGACGTTGTCGGCCGCTTCGTCGCCGTCCAGCACCACGACCGATCCAATGGCGTTGCCTATATAGCGGTACTGAACTCTCTTCCTCAATGGACGATGACGCACCTTCGTCGTCGGTGACGAGGCGGTCGTACAGCTTGGCGCGGCCCCGAGTGCACGTGATTGGCGGGCGGTTGCAAAGCGCATCAAAGAGCCCGTGGCGCATCGACACTGTCAAGTTGTAGCGGCGTCCGAGAGCGTAGATGACGTCGGCGACCTCGTCACCGTCGTAGAGCGTCACCGCGATCGACGGCCCGTCCGCATCAAACTGCACTGGCGCCGAGAAGACGAGCACGCGATCGCGTGTGCAGTACGGTGAGACGAGCGGCTCGGCGCATACGGTTTGAAGGAGCGACCTAGCGGCCATCAGACAGCGTTCGACATTGTAGAACGTACAGCTGCAACTCGCGGTCAAGGGGCGGCTGCATGGCGGAAATGACATCAATGGGCTCTTGTCCGTAGTAGATATCGAGGACGCCGAGGTCGACGCCGTCCGGGCCTTGAATGTGGCGGTGGAAGAGCCTCGGAATCGTCCGGTCGCAGGGCAAGCGACTGCAGACGTAGCCAAGCACCTGCTGCAGCATGCTCTCGAGGCTGCTCCGTTCGGGAAACCACGGCTGAAGATAGGCAAACACCGCGTCCGGAGGCGCCTCGTCGTCGTAGATGGTGAGCACACCGAGCGACGACCCGTGGTCTCCCGTGAAGCCTTGCTGAAGGGCCACGGCGCGGTGTCGCAAACAGCGCTAGCGTGAAAATGAACCACTTGTCTATAGGACCTATCGTACCACGGATGCTTGGGCGCAAATGGAGCCAATCATTTGCCGTTGAAAGGCAGGCCCGAGCGTGTGCTGTCGGCAGAACGCAGCGACCGCGTCCGCCGGCTCGTCGCCGTCGAGGAGCTCAAAATTCCCGATGGACGCACCGTTGTCGCCAGTGATTTTGGCGGAAAACACGATCGGCGCTGCTCGGGTACAGGGCAAGGCGCTGCAAAAGGTCTCGAGCGCCGTGTGCTGGAACGCCAGCGAGAGGTTGTGCTCGTGGCGAAAGGCGGCGATCGCGTCAATCGGCTCGACGCCGGGCGGAACCGAGACACTAAAGACCTTGCCGTGCAGCTCAAAGCGCCTAGTGACGGTCGTCTCAAGTGCGTGGGCTACGAGTAGTAGCTGGAGTAGGACGATGAGCAATAGTCGGCGCATGGTGGACAAAATGTATCTTTTCGGTGTCGCTCCAAGATATTCGAGTTTGCCGTTTCGAAAAGTGGTCCTAGTAGCTCACGCGTGTACAGTACGACGATGCTGCCGGCACCGCTAATGCTGCTCGCGGTCTCGAGCTCCGTCTCGGTCGTCGCGTGCGTGAGCATGATGGTGTGCTTTGTGCTCTTTGAAGAATCGCGCCGGTGCGGCCGCCGCATCCTCTTCTACCTCCACGCCACCGACCTTCTCGGTGCCGTTCTATGGCTATTGACGCTCCTGCCCGACATCGCGTCGCCGCCGACGCCTATTTTGTCGACGCCGTGGACGTGCTACGTGCAGGTGCTCACAGGATCAAAGTCGGGACCTTCCGCAACCTCTTGTAGGGTTATGGACTGCAGTTTTGCGTGCTCTCGTCGTACCTCTGGACGACTTGCTTTGCCTTCCACTTGTACCAAATCCTCGTCAAGGCCAACAAGACGCCCGAGGTTGATCTATTGATTGTCATTTTGTTTCAAGCACTGCGACTAGATGTACGAGTGGCGCTACGTGTTGCTCGCGTGGGGGGCCCCGCTCCTCGTACTCTTCTTCGACTATCGCCTCTTCTCGCAAACGAGTGACTCGTAGATTGTCCTTATGTTTATGAGCCAGCAACTCTGTGGGTTTGAACTCATTGGGTTTGGCGGGCTACCATGGTTCGACGCCCTCTTCTTCGCCGTTGCACCATCCCCTGTGTTACGGTAGGTGCTGGGTCCGCTCGTGGAGCGACGACCAGTGGGTCCTCGACGGCTACGTACTTCAAATGCTCTTCTTTTACGGCCCGATCACGATGGCGTTGGCGGTCAACACGGCGCTCTTCCTCACCGTCGCCACCAAGCTGGTGCGAGCACTATAGCGAAACCCTCAAGTGGCATACCATCCTAGGGGCGGTCGACCGTCATGTCGACGGGCATGGAAGAAAAAATACGGTGGCGCATGATGGCCTACATCGGGGTAGACGTCAGCATGTTGACGTTGCTGTTGACAAGAATGCTAGATCTTCGTCCTCACGTGTGCCTGGGGCGGCCTCGGCCGAACGTTCCAGGTACGCACGTATCGACCCATCTGCGCAATATTGCGAACGCGATGCAGGTGATTTCCCCCGAGCACGAGATCAGCCCCGTCTTCTTGGCGCTCACGGCGTTCTTTGCACCGCTGCAGGTTGGATGAGCAGCTGCTGTCGTCATGTCAACACTTACTTTGCTTAGGGTGCACTCAACTGCGTCACGTACGGTCTCAACAAGCTGGTGGTTCCTGTACCGCTAGCATCTCGTTGCTGATCTCTGTGCATTTAGCTCCGCGAGCGCTTTGTGTCGGCTCTTCGGCAGTGGTCGGCGCTCCCACCAACGACCCATTTATGCATTGATGACGTAGGCGACAGCGCAGCGGCGGTAAAGGCGCTGGTTTGCCCGAGAAGCGCACGCTGGTCCACAGCCCCAAGCGCCTTCGAAGAACATGATGTGTTGCAGGCCTGCGACGTTTGTGTGTCGGCGTCATGTTAACACTGGCGCGATTCGGTGGATTGTCAATAAAGTGTACTGTTCCGGTCGTGTTGGGCTTGACACTCGGCGCTGGCCCCTTGCCTCGCTCGATCATCGCAGTGCAGCCTGTACTGTACAGGCCAGGAGAGGGATGGGCTACGAGTTGTCGCGACGCGACAAGTGCAGCGGCATCCGCGACGACTCGTTCATGCAAACACCGCTCCACGCGCGAGCTAGCGGTCGACTGCTGGACATAAGCAGCACCTTGGCGCGGTTTTGCGAGCCATTTTGCGAGCCATTTTGCGAGCCTTTTGCGAGCCCATTTGCGTCGGCGCAAAAAAAGGTGACTCACACCGCGCCTGTCGCAACTCACCGCCGGCACAGAATTGACTTTGCATTTGTATACTGTCGGATCGAGACAAATGCCACGTCGGTGGCGCGGTTGTGAGATTACCCTTTACGCTGCAGCAAGCTCGCGTACTCACAGCGACGACGACATGAGCGCGCTCCTTCCGAGCACGACCTACTGCTACGCGTCGCGAGGCCCGGCGTCCGCGTCTCCCTTGGCGGCAGCGGCGCTCGGCAACCTTGGCCAAGGCAACGGCGGTGTCTGCCCCGTGCGCATAGCGTTCGCGCTGCCGACAACGCTTTCGAGTACGGTGCCACTCAACGTCTCGTGGACGCTCTCGCTGAACGACCAAGAGCGCGTAACCACGCTCGCGATTGTCAATAGCTCGACGACACTCACGCCGACGAGCGCCATGGCCCCGGTGCAGATTGCGCAGTCGGCGCTGTATCTGTGCCCGACGACCGCGCTCTGCGGGCTCTACTCGGCCGAGGCAAGGCCATTGCCGTACTTGCCATCGCAGTCGCCGCTCAATTTTACCAACGGAACCGCTTCGTTCTTCACGCGCAACGTCACGCTGCCCGCAGGCGAGTATGCGGCGTTCGTAGTGACTACGGTGCCCGGCCTTCAACTGCCCAACACGTCTGTGCGCATCGACCTTGTGAGCTACACGTTGGTGCACGTTGTTGCGCCGGTCGAGCCGCCAGTGCTCTCGACGGTCGAGTATGTGTACATTGGTGTCGGGGCTGCTCTCGCTGCGCTTGTGCTCGTGCTTTTGGCGGTCTGTCTCTGTCGGCGCCGGCGTCGCAAGCTGCACGCCGAGCAGGTCATGGCGGCGTATGCGCGCGCCAACACCCGCGTCTCGAACCGACGACCAAGCCCCCGGCGCATGCTGTCGCTGCGGCAGTCGGGCCGCATGAGTCCGCGGCGAGTGCTCTCCCAGCGTCAGTCGGGGCGCGCGAGCAGCAGTCATACGTACCGCCACCACGGCTCGGTCATTCGCCTCGGCCACTCACCACGCACCCAAGTTCCGCCGAATCCGACCTCCATGTCAATATCGTTTTCGAACGAGTCCGACTTTGCCAACTTTGCTCTCTCGCCCTGGCACCACGGCCAGTCGGACATCTACAATCGGCACTCGGACAGCGCGTCGTCGCCCGCCGACTCGACCGAAGGCTACTACACCGAACCGTCGTTCGCGTCGTCGTCGCACGGTGTCACGGCGTACCGTATTTAACGTTAATGTACCCACCTCCAACTGCGTTCTTACCACAATGTATCTGCCAACGACGTTGGGAGTTGCGTACTTCGGACGATACACAAGCTGCTGTTGAATAGCTCATACTTGGATCGTAGCCACCGAGTTTGAGATGCATCGCTTGGGCGGTGTCAGTCGCGCCTTCTCGATATCGTCTGCGTTGTTGGCCTTGGTCGGCGAGCTCAGAATGACGAGCGCGGTTCCTGCAAGCACGAGGAGGCCGCCACCGAGCGTGAGGAGACCTAGCACAGCTAGTATCAGTCTCTCGTCGCAGCAAAGCGGAACGTACCGGGAATGGCTTCGACGTGGGCCAAGATGCCAATCACCGTGGCGATGATGGGCTCGAGGAGCATGACCATTGAGATCACGATCGGTTCAAAGTAGTAGAGACCGCGGACGTAGCCCATGGTGCCAATGAAATCGCAGACAAAGACAATGTAGAGGGCGACCGGAAGGCGGTTGGCGACCGGCGTCATCCAGCCGTAGAGACCGACCGCTGGGTCCATCGAGAACTCAAGGGGCGCGCCCGTACACACGAGGAGCGTGAGGAGGATGCCGGCGCCGATGAGGTCGAGGTAGTACATGAACACCATGAGGTCGACGTTCGGGCGGAGGCGCTCGGCCTGCGTGAGGTACAAGACGCCGCCGATCGCGCCGACAAAAGCCACGAAATCGCCCTCCATGGACGGCAGCGTGATCGGTGCGTTCGGGTCCGACGGGTGAAAGTCCAGCGTCGTCACGATGCCGCCGACAAGGCCAATGAGCGTACCAGTGAGCTGCGCGCCAGTCACGGGCTGGCGAAACAAGAGCTTTCCGAAGACGAGGAGAAGCGAGTGGCAGTTGTTGAAGATATACGCGTGGCTCACGGACGTCATGTCAAGTGCGCAAATGAACGTGCCGAGGAAGATGACGTAGCCAATGCCGGCAAATGCCATCGAGACCACATCGATCGTCGTCGGCAGCTACTCAGGACAGCAGCAGCATGTCAAACGCCATGACCGGGAAGAGAAATGGATACTAAGATATACCTTGAAGGAGCAGCCGCGGGCGTAGGCAAAGAGGCCCATGAAGAACGCAGTGGCCGTCATGCGCCAAAAGAGCTTGAGGAGCGGTGTGACGCCCGTCTGGAGGTCGAGCGCAATACCCACGGACGAGACAGTGAAGAGGCTCGCGGCGAGGATGAGCGTGCCCAGCCACGCCTGCAACGGCGACGTGTGGATCTCGGTGATCGTCGCCGACGCGTAGAGCGCGGTCGTGAGCGTGGCCGGGTCTTCTTCGAACGCGTTCGAGCGCGAGATGGACCGCAGGACGCGCGACGTCTCTTCAAAGACGTTCGACTTGGAGAGCGATCGGAGCAGGCCCGAGGACTCGGTGGGCGTGCGTGGTGTCGTCATGGAGCTAGAGCGAAGGCGGGTGCTGGCGCTAAGGCGGGTGCTGGCGGGTGCTGGCTGGTCCTGGCGCTGGAGGCGGGTGCTGGCTGGTGCTGGCGCTGGCGGGTGCTGGCTGGTGCTGGCGGGGTCAGAGTCCAAGTGACCGACGAGAGCCAAAGATTGGAACATTTGTGACACGCAAGTCCGAATTGAAACAAAATGTCCGAATTCAAACCTGAATATAGGGCCACACTTGGTTAAAGTATGTTCACCTGCGAGCGTTCGTCGCGGCTATGCATCGTAACGGCAGCGACACCAACCACGCGACGTTGAAGCCGCGCCAGGTGGTCCGACCCTTGACGACCAGAGCGAGCGCATGCCACTCGAGACTCCAAAACTCGACTAAGATAACGACAAGCCGACTTCACAACAATTTCAACGAATGGATTCAAGCTAGCAGCCAGTGAGGTCGGCTCCACGGGCGAATTTCGACGTCGACAGCCACCCAGCCACCTAGGAGCACCCATTTGAAGGCGCGTCTGGTCCGCGCCACGTCGGTCAAGTCTCGAGTGCTCGCCACAAGAGAATTTGTGGCGAGGAGCAGGCTTCATCGCTTGAGATAGGATTGCGCAACAACACTGGATTTTGCAGCGACCGGAGAAGGATCGGCCAGTGGATTTATGGCGCCGAGGGTATGCGTTTGGTGCATGGACCATGGACGCTGATACTACTTCAAAGTGGCAGGAAGCTCACCACCTATTTGCTAGACTCCAGCGCCCACACTGGTAGGAAATCGCGTCGGTCCACACACATGATACACCTGCTGCTGGTTATCTGCGTCGACCCGACAGATGGTTGACATTGCGAGTCCTGGCGCGTAGTTCAAGTCGACGATTCCATTTTTATTCGAATGCAGAGAAGATTTTAATAGGCCATCACACATCAATGATGTATGACCTTTCTTTATTGAACGCGGCTGCAGAGAAGCACGAGATGCAGTGAGCTGGGATCTATCATGGCTGACGGCGCTCTACGTCATGAACTTGGCCTCCAACAGTTCATCAGAGTGGGTCGCGCCCGCCAGGTATCAAAC